GCAATTCCAAGTGTCTTCACTTTTTCCTAATTTACTGAATTCTGTTGTAGACATTCCAATACAGTTTCTGTGTGTCCATTTGTCACAGTCATCGCAAGATATAGATTCCAATTTGGATGCTTTATGACAAATTGTGCATGGAAATCTTGGTCGTCTTGGGCCTGGGTTAGGTTCTATACCACTGAGTAGGAGTAAGATCAGTTGTTGTGTGCTCCTGTCCTTTGCATATGCAAATTTTGGTTGACACATTTGTATATGTTTCTTACTGTTCTTTATCCAGTAGTAGGTTTGTACAGCTGGAGTTACTTGGTTACTAAGTTGCTCAGTTAAATATATGTTCACCCCTTCAATAGTTCTGTCGTTGTAGATGCAGTCCTGGTGTGTTGAATGGTATTTTGACTGTGGGGTAAGTATTATGTGATGTAAAATTAAAGTTTTTCTTGTCCAAAGAGCAAGTGTTAGCATGAAGATTGTATAAGAGAACATTTCTATTGCTGTAAATGTATCTTAATACTGCCTTTAAGTACTTACTAGATGTGATGATCCTTCAATCTGTGTCTTCAATGTATTATAACTAAACAACTCCAATTGTCCACAGCTGGAACAGAGAAATTAGGTTGAGTGTGATGTAAGTGTTTGATACTGTATAAGCGGTAAATAGTAAAACCTGATAAGATAAACTAACCTAGAATTTTTCTACTCGTCTATCGTGTCTTGGATCACTGGTACCTATGTTTTCTTAATAACTGGAAGATGATGGTTAGAATATTGAGTTCAGTTCCTCTTGTTCGACTCTAATCTGTATGAAGTCAAATTCCTGGTCTATGTGGAAGCATTCAGTGTAAGTGTCCAGTATTATTTGTTTGGTGATGGCTAGACTTAGTAATCGTCCAGGGTGTACACCGTCCTTACTGTATCTAACCATCGCAACAGTGTGGACATGGACACCTGATATTTAAATGATATCGTGTCGGTCACTGGCTGTCCACAACAAAGACTTCGCGCAAATACAGTATGTCAGGGGCCTCTCAATGGGGATACATAATTACTATTTTACACATGTCCTTTAATAAAATATTTGTTTTTACATGAAAGTTTATAGGAATTTGTTTTGAATACATTTATATACTTACAGCAAAAAAGTGTGTTTTTTTTTAAAGAATGAGCATATTCCAAGGTGATATCACCAAATAATCGAGAGAGAAAAAAGTAAGAAATATTCTTTTCTGGCAATAAGTGAAAAATTAAGTAGTGTGTCAGTTATAGACAAGTAGTCCATCATGCATTGCAAATCATTCAGTGGATTGGTCAATCGCCAAAATAAAATTAAAATGCTTTATTCGTAAACAAACACTAATACATGCATTGACGGGGGCATACGTATGCTAAATAATACATGTCTGTATTAGGAAATGTGCCCGACCTGTCAAATGCAGCTGTTCTGTTGATTTGAAAAACGAATGGACGGATCACAGCGATTTAATTTAGAATTGTATTTAATAATTTTGTTTATTTGTGTTTCAGTATCTATCCATAAATTAAATATGGTCACAATACCTTTTATACTAGAATAATTAAACGAGTGCACCCAGTTTGAAGGTTTTAATTACACTGTTACTGTTATGTTGACATAATAACCTGTACATTATCTCGTGTTACAGTTGACCAGTTTAGTCTTGTGCACATAATGTATGTCATGTATTATTTCAAAACAGATGTGTTGTGAACATATCATTAAATCCATGGATATATATTGAAACACAGAAACCGAAAAAGAAGTGAGTATAATTTCAAATTGTAAGGGGGCGACCAATATAGATCCCGTAACTTTTGTTATACGTGTTCAGGTATAACAAAATCTAAAATAAATATCAATGTTTCACAAAAAGGTACTCCGACTCCAATTAACGTAAATTTTGCTCACTGAATTCATATGCTTCTTGATATTTTCATGAGATATTTTTTGTTAGAATGATATTTAAATGTTCCCGAAAATCTGATCGTTGGAGTCTTCGATGGGAATAAAAATGTGTTCCGTGCAAAAAATTATGCAGCCCAGAGGACTAAGATTATTTTTATGAAGGTCCAGGGTTCTTATTACCAATAAAAGTAATCTTAGTATGAAAGTTGATCGTAGGTTACTCTACAACATCGTTTTTGTGTGTAAATATCATTACATAAACTGCTTGATAAATGAATTAGGTATGACAATTCATTTGGAAACTCAACATATACGCTCACGACACTTACCAAAGAGGAAATCCTGGATAATCATAGGTCTGTTCTATGTTCCTTTGGATTTTCAACCAAAGATGAAGAACTGGATCTTCCATCACTGTATTGGATACCTAAACTACATATGTGTCCTTACAAACAACGGTATATTGCTGGATCTTCCAAGTGCTCCACGAAACCTCTTTCTAAATTATTAACATCTATTTTATCAGCAATCAAAGCCGGGCTCCAAAGTTATTGTGAAACTGCCTATTCTAGAGGTGGCGTGAATCAGATGTGGATACTAAAAAATTCCAAAGATCTTTTAAAGTACATACAATATAAGACTCTCTCATCTCATCTCAATAGTATTAAAACATTTGACTTTTCTACACTTTACACAAGTATTCCCCATTCCAAACTAAAAGACAAATTGAAATAGTTGGTATTACTTTGTTTCATTAAAAAGAATGGCGAACGTAGATATCTTTAATTTACGTTCCGCTATATAGTTGATGTTCTCTCACTAAATAAAACAAAATTTGGTGACTATGTTGAACGAATCTATCCCATCGAACTAGAGATAAAGGATACTACAGATACAGTTAAGTCTGCCTCATCTCTTGACTTACATCTAGAAATTGACAATGAGGATCGGTTGAAAACAAAACTTTACGACAAAAGAGATGATTTCAGCTTTCCAATTGTGAACTTTCCATTTCTATGTAGCAACATTCCAGCAGCGCCTGCATACGGAGTATATATCTCCCAATTGATACGATATTCCCGGGCTTGTATTTGCTATCATGATTTCCTTGATAGAGGATTGCTACTCACAAGGAAGCTATTAAACCAAGAGTTCCAAATGGTGAAGTTGAAATCATCCCTTCGTAAATTTTACGGACGCCATCACGAGTTGGTTGGCCGTTATGGAGTAACCGTTTCACAGATGATATCGGATATGTTCCTTATGTCGTAACTACAATACCCTTCCCTTTTCACGAATGTGACCTACCGAATTAGACTATTTACCGGATTTGTAATAACATAAGCAACACGACGGGTGCCACATGTGGAGCAGGATCTGCTTACCATTCCGGAGCACCTGAGATCACCCCCAGTTTTTGGTGGGGTTCGTGTTGCTTAGTCTTTAGTTTTCTATGTTGTGTCATCTGTACTATTATTTGTCTGTTTGTCTTTTTATTTTTGGCCATGGCGTTGTCAGTTTGTTTTCGATCTGTGAGTTTGACTGTCCCTCTTTATCTTTCGTCCCTCTTCTACACCAACTCGTACGAATTAGTGTTTTTCTTATTTTTTTAAAGAGCTACAGAACGTTTTTTTCCCTCTCTCGATTACCTCATTCTGTCAAAGGAAACTTTTTGTTGTGAGTATATACATATATTCCAAACAAATTCCTATAACTTTCATGCAAAAACTTTTGTTTTATGACTGGACATGTGTAAAAAATAGTTATTATGTATATCCCTGACATACTGCAATTGCGTGAAGTCTATGTTGTCGACAGCCAGTGATACACACGATAACATTTAATTACCATGTGTCCAATGTCCACGCTGTTATGAAATTCATTCTATTACTTATCCGCTATTCCGTGATGCCTAATCACTTGATATAACGTATTAACATTTTCAATAGTAGGATCTGCTTACCTTTCTGGAGCACCCTGAGATCACCCCAAGTTTTTTTGGTTTTCTATGTTTTGCTTTGTGTGCTGTTATATGTTTTTTGGTCGTTTTTCGTTTTTTTTTTTTGCCATGGCGTTGTCAGTTTGTTTTGGACTTTATAATAATTTGAATGTCCTATTGGTATCATTCGCCTATCTTTTACAACTCTCTAAACTGTTGACCTTTCAAAGTACTTGAGTTGATCAAATACTAGTAGTTTTAAAAAAGGCACATGGTTTGTAACTCAATTTGGCCGAATATTCTATGGATCTTTCAATACTTCTTAAACTCCACTATCTAAATAATATCTCATTCATAATGCCATGCAGGTTGCATTGAGGCGAACACAAACATTTAAAACAAATGAAAAAGGAAACATCTTTTATCAGGTCTTCCTCCCACTGTTTTGAAGATTTTAAAGCCTCGTCATTTTATATGTGTTATTATACTTTCCCTTCGTTTAAAATAAGTTAATAGTCTTGATCTTTTTCGGATTATATTTTCCTGTTGCGATGCCAAAAAGTACGCAACAAAAGTGCAGTTGTGGTTTTCAGTGAAATATCGCCCGTCTCACTTTTCTTAAAAAAGAAAACTAACAAAAACAATTTGAAAACTCATCAAAGAGACAAGGCTTATAATTAGGTATGCGGAATGCACGTTTTTTTTTGCACTAGACTCACCAGTAGCACTCCGATCAAAACAATCGAAAGGCCAAATCAATTACAAATATGAGCAGTCAAAATATCAATACTTTTTGGTTTAATCAGCTGATAAAATTTCTGGTCTCGAGCATCACTGAAGAGACATATAATATCGAAATGCGCATCTGGTGCGGTAAATTGGTACCGTTAATATTATGTCAAAAAGTTGTGCCAAATCTGTCTTAGGTCATCAATGCGTTGAATAAAAAATATTCAGTGTTTCGAAGGAATTACCTTTATGAACAGTTACAGAAAATGTCCGTATCAATGATATTTTATGTCAGCACAGAAGAGCTGTCTAATGGACTGGCGATACCCTAGGGGATGAAGCGTCCGCCAACAGTGGCTTCAAAATTAGAAGACACCAAAAGGAGTGCAAATAAGTACACAAATACTAGTAATCATAAGGTATAACTTTATTCAACGATGAAACATGAAGCTACATATGGCAAAATAATTGTTTTACAATTCGCCAAACAAAATATAAAAGTAGCACTCTATATCATGAAAACTATTTCACATTGTTGAGATTGTTAACTCCCTATTAGGCATGCATGCAAACCAAAAAATAAAGACACAACCGTATCAATGTTGTATGATGTGCAAATGCACGACACTCATAACCAAATTGCAAACTTTTCTGGTATTCATAATACAAAAGTTTACAAGATGTAGAATGCTTGATAAAACTCCACACAAATAACAAAATACACACATGGTGGTACCTGCCTTGTAAATATCGCTCGAAAACAAAGATTTTATTCAATTGCTTTACTTGAATAGACAAATAAACCCTTTCACAAAACTATTTGATTTCACAGTACTTATTTGGAACAATTTCGACCATGTTAATTATTTCAAAAGTAAGGTAGATTTAGGAAATATAATGTCGATACCTCTCTATTTTGCACAAGTTTATTTAAAATCAAATGGACAACAATATGTTAACGATCTTTATCAATAATTTTTGATAAGATGGAAATTTTATGTTTACAAAATTATTACATAAAATCTGGACAATTTCGATTTACTTTATCTATTAACATCTTATTAATATAATGAAATCTGATATTCTGGATTGAATTGTATTTAAAAGGTGCCAGTCTATCTTATATTGCATTGTTCTGGATTTTTATTTTTTTTTGAGAATTGAAAGATAAATTTTTCATGATATATTCATCAATCAGGAAAACACACTGAGTAAAGAAATAACTTTGTGCAACAACATTTAAAACTTATTCCAGACAAGTTATATGATATTCGCTATTAAGCCTTTTTGAATTTTTCTATCTTACATATAATTAAAGGGCATCTTTTTCGGATGGGGCAACACTATTTAGAGGACTGGAGTAATTTGGGAACTACTAGTAATGTATATCATTTTATATTGCGATCGAAATAAATATCATTTTGAAATAAATTCAGATATCCAATGATTCATTTAAATCAATTAAACTTATGGGCAATATATAGTTTTTAAAATATACTAAGATTCTACAAATTCATATACTAATTATATACTGTAGTTATTATTAGGTTATCATCGTTCACAAAAGTAATTTCATATTTATTTTGCATATACAATGTACTTGCCATGATATAAAAGGTTAACATATTGTTGTCTTATAAATCTTTCTGTATTAAAAATAGATTTCGTTCATGACTTGAATTCATGTTGCAGACATTTCTTCATTGAGACATTTTGAAACAACAAACAATTCAGAAATTTCATAAAGCACTACTATCTTCCATAACTTATCAGTGCATATACTTTTCATTGTGGTAAATACTTTTATAGAATTTGCAATGTTATTACAAAATAAAATGCATAATCGGTGGGATTATGTAAATTACTTTCATTCGTTGTTTTGGCAGATGTATCCATTCAAAATCAAACAATAGACGAGGGAAGGTTAAAGGGTTGGACTGAATTGTTTGCATATTTTACAATCTTCGTTAAAAGTTTATTACAGATTAAGAATTATTGGTATTTCAAAGGCGATTTATCTCAAAATTTATAGTGCATATAGTACAATATTTAGAAACTTAAATGCAACTATGAACTAAATGCAACTATTAACCCTCGTTAATAAAAATATCTTTTTTCTTTTGGAATCCAAAACAAAAACACAGTATTTCGCATCTGTAGAGCTTGAACCCTGAATGTTGAGTGGTAGAGTGTTACTTTTGGAATATAAAAAAAAAGGTTTATTATAGAATATGAAATAGAGAATCTTTCTTGCTATTATGTGTAACTTTTCTAACTATCTGTTGGAATATGTCTACGGTTCATTGATTTGGAAAGTTCAGCCTTAAGGTTTTATCTCGTTTTGGCTAGATTTCAAATTGTATAGTTGTCTTATATAGCTTAAGTAATATAATTTAAGTCCATTATTAATCATAACTCAAGTAATCAAAACACAATAACGTGTACCACTACAAAAAAGTTTGTAAACTGTATTACTACATATGGTATTACTTATGTCGGACGTACTATACATGAATAAGATAATATGTGGGATACACCAGGCAGATTAGAGACACTGGTGCACTTAATTCCGTCAATGTAGAATAACAAATGTAAATTGGTTTTGAGCAATTCAGCCTTTTATGGCTGAAAACATGAAAATCAAAGGGTGAAGTAGTTAAGTTTGAACTAATTGCAATTCTCGACTTTTGTGCAATGTATATGTATAATACACTTATGATTATCAATAAATTAATTTGCCTATTTTCATCCTGTGGACTATATATTCTTTCCAACCAGAAAGAATTCATTGTTATTAAGTATTAATTAGTAGACATTATTGATATATAATAAGGCTATATATAGGATTTACATAGTTTTTGTTTAATGTTCAGAACATTTCGGTACATCTGTACTCTAAATTTACGCTTTTATCTTGAATTGCAATGTGTCACTATTACTTTTTTATGCATTTATCCGCGGCTGTGTAATCAAATAAAGCTAACAGCTCGTAATTGTATTACAAAACATCTTTATCTAAAATTGTCTGCAACATGTTATTTCACATAGAAAAGTTGTATGACATGTTTCCTCAGATGAAGAAATATAGCAAATCATCAATACTTATAATGGTTGACATATGTATACACATCTTCACATTAACTTATAATACCACAAGTATTCAACTTGTAATTGTTTTTATACAAGTCTAAATGCATAGAAATATTTTTGCTCTGGATTATATCATATAGTTATTATCAAAAATGTTTCTTCTAGATCACCAAAGAAATCTTGATAATAATTTGGATAATCATTCACCATGATTCTAAAATAAAGTCGTCATTCAAGTAACGCAATGGATTAAGATGATCTTTTATGTAAAGTAGATTTTGCATAGTTATGAAAGCTTCATTCATGTTTGGAATCTTTAAACATGCTTTAAGCTAAAAAACCAAAATATATATGCAATGATTTTTACAACAATCTGAAGGCATTTGGTACTTTCTTATGCCGTCAGAAGAAACTGATCAAATATTCAAAGAAAAATGCATTTGCTATAGTGTTGCTTTGCAACTAAGCTACATATTTACATATTACAAAAGATAAGCACATGAAACAACAAAATCACAATCAAAGACATAACTATTACCAAGGAGGTTCTAGCCCCCTGCTATTACACACATTATTTTGTTTGTCATTGAAATTAAAACGATTCCACCACCTTAACCAAAGTTAAGTTCATCCAGCCAAAGTTTCACCGAGATGCCTACAAAATCTTTAGCAATCGAAAAACGTTTTCCTCTCTTAAATAATTAATGCATAATTTTGATGATGCGCTAAGTATTCATACGTTACAGAACGATCAAGACGTTACGTAAGAGCCTATTTGAAACACATTTTGAAAATCCAAATGCGAAAGATATCAATGGATTTCATTAAATAATTGTATTCAAATTAAGTCCAAACTAGAATTAGTTAATGAATTTTAAATTTTGTTGTTGGTACAGTTATATACTGGTTAATTTTAAAAATACGCCAAATTGAAACATACTGAGGATTTGATAAGCCGATTATTTATCACATATTTTGCTTTAATTAAAAATTGCATCTAATTGTTGATATAACCATAACAACTTTTATTTGATCTGGATAAACTTAGTTTTGGAAGAGTGGTTGTAAGTACACCTTCATTTCAATGTAACACCGGGTTATATGATTTCTTATTACTTGAAGATAATTTGTACAGCTATAAAATTATCACTGACAATGTTAGAAGTTTTGTAAAATAAATAAAACCTCATGCAACATAATATGGCACAGTATAACATATATGGAAAATAACTGTAAAGCACCTTTTGCAGCAAAAACAAAAGTAATATGTATCATATTATTTCTAACTGTTGGAACTAAAAAGCAAATTTCTCGTGAAGTATATTTAATTCTATATAGTTGCGTTACATTGTTTTACAATGCACACGTATTAATTGGAGGAGTGGGTAGCGGTAAACATAGCACAACTGTTGGTAACTTTTCTGTTACCGCCTTTCTTTCTCTTATACAGTTAATATTTAGAGTTGCACCCCTTTGACTGTATATCGATTTTTTTTTTCAGAATAAAATCAAAATAGCACCATAATCTAGGATTATCAACAAATAAAAAAGTTGCATCTAAATAATACGTTTCTTCTTAGCAAATTAATATAAGCTTATAAAACTTTTAATTCCAGTGGAACATAAAACAGAATACATTATAAAAGATATTCATGCATTTAATGCATTTGATGGACATAGACAGAGGACAAAACCTGCATTTGATACAATTGAAAAAATCACAAAATACAAGCATTATTGCACAAATCGAAATTTTTGTAACAATATATGTTTCAATTCAAATATCTAAATACTTTCTATAATATTGCATTACACAACCAAACAAAACAAAACATTCTATAGTCAAATTGATAGTTTACACCAAGAAAATGTATCATGAATACAAATATCTATTTATATTTAGTAATATGACAATACATGTACAAAGAAAACATTTTACATACTATTATGTGTTTGTTAATTGGCGAATTGCTGAAATTTATCATTGCATTTATTTGTGAGCACTGGCACTTTTATTCAATAAGATATGATGACCTCAATAATTTGAAAGATAGTGATTGAGAATTAATATTCGAAATTAGTTTGAAAGCAATTTTTATAAATTAAAGCCAGGTTTGACCCGAAAGAAACATAACAATATGTTTATATATATATAAATGTATATATATATATGCAGTTCTACAACTGAAAAATATGCAAAGCCATTCGAAAATATGACTATATTTACACATTTACAATTGGATAACATAGTAATGAACAGTTTCAACAAATCTAAACATCTTTATAATATACTTTAAACAACATCAACATGAATGCCATTTGAGCAAGTCATTAATATATATATATAGTTTGACTGGTCCGTTCAATCCTTTTCTCATATGTTTAAAACACATGAATGTGATTAACATTAACACTGATAATTTCGGCAAATAGTGACGGAACAATAGGGATGTGATTCAGTGTTAGATGCACTCAGAACCTCATATCAATATGCACTGACTTCCAGTTGATAGATTTCTCCTACATTCATCATTTTCAATGCGAGTTCATTTATAGTGCAGTTGATGTGAATTGAATTGACAGGAAAGGGTATATCATAATCTGTAGAATTTAGATTATGCATAATTAAGTCTTATAAGAGTGAAAGCTAAATCAAAGATGTTCAAAAATCTGGTAAGAAAAGCGTAACATTTTGTATCAAACACACGATTCCGAATTAGTCGCTGATTATTTGCAACAGCAACAGATATATAGTCGGGCATTTTCAGTTTGAAATCTTCAGGAACAATACATTTGGTAAGTTATCCATTACGAATTATGAACAAACCGGAATGAAAACGGGCGGTTATTTGTACTGTTTATGTATCTATTTCTGAAATTATCCTGCCACTTACAGATCATTCTGAAGGAATAACTAAAGACAAAATCAGTCTTAACTGTGTCGAAAACTGGAAAGTTTATTTTCAATTGCGCAATTATTTTTTGAAGCAAGAGCAGATTTATGACTGTATAAACAGCAAGATAAAATCTTTCTTAGTGATCTTTGCGATTTTGATTTTTAAGTTGGATATGAAATAAAGACACGTTGAGAGTCATGCACCACTTATTAGAAAATGTACACAAGAAATAACCAATCTATAGCGTCCAATGTGAGATTTAAATGAAGAGTGTCGACTTTGTCTAACAGCAACATTATACAGCAATCACATATAATGAGCATTCTCATCGTTTATTGATACAGAGTATCATACATTCTTGACACTCAGAAGTATAAACAGAACAAACAAAGTTAAAAGATACCAATGAGGGGATCAAAAATCATAAGTCAGAAAAATATAATTCATATTTTACAATATGTTTGTCAGATAGACAGTGCATTTTTACTATTAATGCAGTTTTTATGCCCCATATACTAAAGTATGGGTAAGTATGTTTTCCGGCCTTAGTGTCCATACGTCTGCCCGTATCAGGCGAAGATTTAATTAAAGGTAGCTTACCATGCAGTTGTGCTTACATCAACTTGAAACTTAGTACATACATTCATTGTGAACTTTTAAATATGTATGCCAAATTAAGGTTTTGACTCAGATATCACAATTCACTGTTCAGGTTTGAGTTTTGGTTCAAGATAGGTTAAAGTTATGGTTTAAGATAGTTGGTCTCCAGTTAACCTAATGAATGTTATGTCATAAACGTGCGTCGTGCTCATATTCAATGCGAATCCATTTATAGTGCCGTTAATGTGAATTGATAAAGAGTATAGTATATTCTGAAGAATTTAAATAATGTAAAATTAAAGTTTTGGTTTATGACAGTTAACCATCAAGTTGTTAAATAATTATGTCAACTTTTAAAAATATAATGTCAAGTAAGGGTTTTGTCCCAGATTTCGCAGCTCATTTAACATGTAACAGTGAAAACGGGGCATGGTGTCAAATGAACAGTTTTCTTGTTTATTTGTACATTTAAAATGAATTTACGAGTTTTAAACACCATTATCTCTTATCTATTTCTAATGAAATATACCGGTATCTTATAGAAATCGGTTCATACGCTTTTCTATAGTTTATCTTCTTTGTTACAAAAATTTTAGGTCCAAAAGCTGTAGAAATCTCTCATTAGAACTTTAGTTTCACGTTATGGACACGGTTTCATTTTAAGTTGTGTGAGAATATGAAAAAGCCCAAACAAATGATGCCGAAAAATAAAAATAATTGAAAATACACAGACAGACAATTGTGCATTGAATACAGTCGAAGACATATCTTTACCATAACTTTGCTATATTTTAGGTCTAAATTAACAGCAAAATATGATACAATTACAGTTCTACAAAATCCTTAAGCCTCAGGTGTCTTATACATATAAAAAAAAACTCACCAAAGATACCAAGTTCATGAAATAAATCACTTATAAATGATTCGTGTTATTCAGATCAATCACAAGTGCTGATTCCAGACTATTGGAATAGCCAAATCATATATAGAATTTTAAAAACCAAAATTTCTTATTTCTTGAAATTGTTTTAAATGTATACAAGTATAAAATCCAAAATAATGTTAATATCACTTAAGTTAATAGAAAAAAGGGTAAGAAAAAACGTTCCCACCATATAAAATTCTTCATGCATGTTACCCCTTATAATCAGAATGCACACATAAAAAATGTATACTGGCCCAACTAGGAAGAAATACGAATGTATCACATTTTGCTGCTCTTTGAATAAATCTTTGATTTGCAGGTTTTTTCCCCAAACCAAATAGGCATTAAATGCTGCTGTTTCGTATCAGTGAGATTGTCTGCATACAATATAAGTAGTTAACATGAATATAAAACCAACCGGATTTCTCGTGCAGGAAGACCAACTGTTACCAATCAGTCCATTCTTGCTGCCAATGGACGGAAAGTTTCCGTTTATTTTAACGCTAATACAACAAGACGACACATATCTACATCGTCATAGTGATGTAGTTTGACTGTCACCGTTTGATAAATTAGGGTTTTGATGCATTAATGTTTCGATCTTCCCTTCTAAAAATTGAACTCTTTCTTTTAAGTAATGGTTCTCATATTCTAGTTCCAGAGCTCTCTTATAAAAACTACGCTCTTTCTCTTTTTTTGCTTCGCGTGATCGTCGTGCAGAGTCGTTGTTTTTCTTTCTTTTCTCCCAGTAACCATTGTCTTTGTATTCCGATGGTATATTCGCCTTTTTTCTCTTTGAGATGATTTTTCTTGGTTTGTAACCGGCAACTGTTACACCGCTATTAACCATTTCGTCAATATTTATATCCAAAGGTACAGTAGGTGGAGAATTACCTGGCGGCCAGTCTTCAAGTCGACTGCCACTTCCACTTCCGCTTGCTTTAGAATCGCTGTCCGATTCTCCAAAATCAAACGGCGGTTTGTTTTTCAGTGGGTCTTCAGGCCTATTAGGAATACCAAGTTGTGTGAGTTTAGATTCATGTTGTTTGAAAGACTTTTGGGAATATGTTTCATCTGATGAACTAGTGACACTTTTGCTCAAATTTTCATAGAGTTCTGTAGTTGAATTAAACGAACAAGGTTTCCACTTTCGATCGCAAATTTCTGCTTTTAAGGCAACGTTAAAATCAGGGTATTTTTCATTAGAGTAGTTGCCATATTTTTGTCTGAACTGATCATGCAGTGGCTTTAAGCTATCAAGATCATACGTTTGTCCGAACAAGTTATGCATTCGTCCATTTGGCACTTGAGCGTGAAAGGTTCCATTATTTTGTGGCAAATATGGGTAGCTGCTATGAGTTGAAAAGTCTGGCACTTGATTCTGAATAGACCAAGGTTCAATGGAAGGTGTCGATTGAAAATGATCCGATCTCTCTGCTTTAACAAAGGCAGATCCATTAGATGTAGTAGCACCGTCTGTCCAATTACATAAGAGATCATTATCACTATCCATTAACAATGCACCTGCCATTAATTTAGAAAAACTTTGCTCTTCTGCATTTGACGATGACATGCCTGAAAGAGAGAAAATATGGATGTAAATTTTAAGTAACAACAATACTATAACAACCAAAGGCTTAAACATTGCCTACTAAAGAGCGGGATAAAAGGAGATGAGGGATATACGTCAACCCATCACCCATCTAATAACACAAATATCCACCAGACAGCAAAAGGTCAACATATATCAGCTAAAAAAATTATGGAAAATTTCTATGTTCATTTATTGGGCATCTTCTGTGAAGATTAATGGTAACTAAGGTTCATTTGCATGTGATTATCTACATCGTTTTGTTTTAGGTGTTTATTTATAGACGAATGATACCAAATTAAGTCACGTGTTTCTGAAGTAACCTTTATTGGGTATAGTTTGAGACTAAAACTGAGACGCCATATAAAACGTTAAGGAGCATAAAACAGAAAAAGTGTAATATCAAACAAACAAATTCTTCATTCCGTATGTTGTTAAAAGACGACTGTAAGCATTTTAATTTGGATGTTTTACGTTTCAAGTTTTGTCCCCCTTTTTGTAAGCAATAATATCAATTTTCGACTATTAATATTTTATTCATGATATTTTCTGTAGTCCGATGTTGTGTAAATATTTAATATCTTGCCTGAAATGGAATAAGTGTCTCGTTTTGATACTGGCTTATCAACACAATGATGTAAAAATGTTTAACGTTTCCTTGTGATTTACCAATGAATGTATTGATAGTTGTTCTAGAAGATGCCAAGAAAGAGGTCAAGCAAAATTATGTGAAACGACTACTTAGGTATAAATATTGATATTCTGCGATGCAGTTCTCAATTCTAGAGGAATGGTCAGTGTAATAAAGACAGTTTTATGGTGATGTGTTTGGCACAGTCTATTATAAGTACTTCGCAAACAAGGAAAGTAATTAGAATTGATCGTTCCATATATGAATATCGATCTAGCACGGGTCGATACGAGAATTGAGTTCGTTACAAGGCTGTCACGGTTTCATTTTCTTCAAATATCTGCATCTTAACGCAGATAGTGCATCTCATCATTGTATTGGATTAATAGTTGTCGCGCTGTTGTAAGGATTTCAGTAGAGAGTATAATGGTTAAGAAGAGTTTCATCTTCTGGCTTGATATGAGGATAACATATAAGGAAGGAATAACGTTAAACGTAGGGGATATTTCCTTCAATGACTGTTTCGAAAGTTTAAAATAAAAAACTATCATTTGCTTTGGAAGAAACATGTACAAGTAGACAGCCTGAAGAAAATGAATTAACCGACAAATATAAAACGAGTAAAATTAAGATAAAACGATAGAATTTTTAAAAAAGTCCTGGTATTCACTCATAAATGTCACAAAATTTACAAATAATCTTTTACAATTCAGTCAGTTCTGGTCTTATAAAAATAGAAAAGTAGTAGCCTTTGTACCAACTAAAGACTTAAGTACGTTGAATATTCAATATGCATATGCTTTATATCAGGACGAAAAATCAATCTTCTACGAGCTGCATTTTGTTAGATTATACTGGTATTATGCACATGATTGATTATCTCCTAGATATGTATATCTCCACTTCTTCAATAAGACTAGATAGTTCGCTGTCTTATTTCGTTTGTGTGTAAGAACACAACATACTTTTTCTGATTTTCGACATAAGAGAACAATATAGTCATGTTTGCTTTCCATTCCAATATTTCTATTGTTTGACAATTGTAGATTTATTAAAGTCTTTACTTAAAAACAGAACACTCAAATTATATGATTTTCATGATCACTTTAACAAAACAATAGTCAAGTTTACTAATTTCCCGATGTTGAAAACTCGTAATCCTTTTTGCATACACAAACTAAGAGAGAGAGAGAGAGAGAGAGAGAGAGTAATATACCCCAGAAGAAGAGTATTGCTCTAAAGTTATATATAAAAAAAAAATGTATAGCAATGATGAGAAACAATGAGCTCTTATTATAATAAGTACATCAGGTGCAACTAACATTTCAGAACAACCAGTGGAATCAGAATTTATATTGCTAAAAGTGCAAATCAATGAAAACTAAAACTGTAGAATCGACTCTTAAAACAAGACAAAGTTAAACATTAATTACGATAAAACAGATGGCATGACAAATATGAAAATAAAAATTGGACAACATGCAAATGAATATAGAAAATACTTTAGAACGGATCATTTTATTCGGTTTCTCTATGAATCCAAAGACGGAAACGATCAAGGAGGTTATTACATGAATTTATATTGACTACTAGTATTGTACTACAAAGATGTAGTACAATCTATGCAATATACAACTACAAAAAGTAGTTAGTGTGTCATTATCTAAGATTTAGGTACACAAATGAATACTGAATGAAGAACAGTCGCTCTATACAGATTCCAAAATGTCCAATATGATAGGAAACAAATTCTGAAAGTTTCCATCGATACACAGTTGTAAGAAAATTTCCCCAAGAAGATCACGATTATTGAAAATTAAACATAAGCTTAAATCTAAAGTAGACAATATAAGAATAATATTCAATATCTTGTAGTTTAAGATAGCTACAAACGTATACTAAAACAGAATAATGATCCTGAAATGAGCAAGAAAATTTAAATATTTCTAGATATTTTGCACATTTATCTCGTGTAAAACCTTGGAAATTTTCTTTTTCAGTCTGTAATATTTTGTACTATATCAAACAAACATATGTATAGCCGGCATAGTTGTACATTACCATTTCTTATCATTCGCCTTTTATAGGAGCATAACTCTTCAAATACTTGTAACAATCACATAGTTTGACTGAATGCAGGCCTGAGAGGGAAAGTTGAAATAGCTATGACTGAAATGTAGCTCATGCATCTATCTACCATTGTATACCCTTGAAAAAGAATCGTTAAATAATTTATAAATAACCCATTTTCTAGTCCCTTTATACTGCACACACTGGTGATTGAAGAGGACTTTACTGTTAAAGAGTGACGTTTATCATAATTCCTAGAATAGATTTTTTTGTCGAATTTAATTGAAATACTCCAAAGATAACTTGCACTAACTTCAAATATCAAACATTTAAATCAATGACAATAGCAACTGATAGTTACAATGCAAAGGTCTTGGTATTATCATTTACGTAAAAATTACCAAGAATTTCCGTCTTTGATTTAACCTCAAGTAGTGAAATTTCCACAATTAGCCAGTAAGCTCATACGATAAAAGTCCAAATATAGATGGAAATACATGTAGGGCATAAATGTCATAAGTTTTTGCGATAGAATTGGAACCTTCGATTAGCTTGGTCCTTGTAATCTGAACTTTCGATTAGATTGGTCCTTGTAATCTGAAATTAAAAACGACAAGTTGAGAGTATTGTTGGAAGTACGGAAAGTATAAAGAATTGAAAAAAGAAGATGTCAAATGGACATCAAAAGCAATAAGTCGAGAGAAAAAAAACGGACAACACCATCACCAAAAGAAAAACTACGGAAAGAACAAGAGAAGCTTAAGCAACAGGAACTCTATAAAACAGGGGTGAAACCCATCGTGTTACTTCTGTTACATTAAACATTACAAAAAAGCCTTAGACAAGGAATACGATTTCAATAGGCAGTGCAAGAACGCAATATGGACCGCCCCCTTTTTGAATTTATCCAGGAGTTCGGTAATTTTGTAAATACTTTTTTCTCAGGGATATAGACAACATTGGCAAAAAGGAACTCCCGTACTAATAACGTTGCTTCAGTCTGTTCTTAATTCAACATATTGTTCTGTAGTCAGCACAAAACTTTGTAATTTCCAGTAATGATTCAAATCCGGTGTTTTATTGTTTACACTGATTAGAGTAGCTTCATTCATCGAAGGACTGAAAGCTTACTTAGGTTATAGATAAAATGCAATATATGCGTCTTATGTGTGTAGAAACTACAGGGTGGACAAACCCAACAACAGAACGAAGTACGTGTTTTCCTGACACCTGGAACGGTTATGTACATCAGACGACCCTTATGAAATGATATTTTCTCTCTTTCAAAAAGCAAACTAAATGAATCCATTGGGTATGAACTTTCTTATACACTGACGTGTAATGATTTTTCCCTATTATGCTCAGAAGATGTTTGGACTAGTGCAATTAGTAAATTTTATTTAGATTCCGTGACCAAGTACGTCAACACTATATTAATATTACCATTGAAAGTTCTGGTTTTAAGCTGCTTAACTATTTAACAGACAATCATTTATCAAAAATAAAAGAAGACTGGGTTTGTAAGCATTTAACTTTTTCTAATCTATTCAAATTTCATTTATTCATGGATTCATACTCAACAATTATGTTATGCCCTTCTTAAAATATTAATGTAATAAGTAGTCGAGGAAACTAAAGAAATTAACAGTTAACTGTGTCCATATTTTCTAAAAATACATTGTTTTTGTTGTCATCAGAAGAACGTATGACAAATTGGACACCAAGAAGGTTGTTAGATTGTTTTTGATATGTGTCTGAGACATTCTTAACTCACTTTCTCTTACTTAATCGAAATAAAATGTTTGTTACAGATATTTACACATGTTTAACCGTGTCAATTATCCAATATATCCACTATCGCCTATCTGCTTATATCGGTTTTGCCATTTTTATGTCTGTCATACTTGCTTCTGAATATAACTTCGGAGTCGTATGACGGGTGAAGCATGCATAACAGGAAGGAGATGTTTGCACGTTGGAGATACCTGGTCTCAGTCTGGTTTGATGTCATTCGTTTGCTTTTCATTGACATGTTTGTTTATTCTAACCTCATACTTTAATAGACATCGATATACTATATTATTATTCGTCCTTGAGTATAAAGTAATAAAACATATTTTAATGTGGTATTTAATGGAACATTTACCCAAAAATAAATTTTATTTGGTTAGTAGGGGAAAAAATTGTCTTTACTAATTGAAATCATTCATAGCACATGCACAACTGGTGATTTAATGACACTATTGAGTAAAAACCTTTTTAGTAGAAAAAAACCCAAAGTAT